AGCTGGCCAAGAGTAATTGGTTTTGGATGTTACTTACCTTTTTTAGTGAAGGTCCACGTTTCCACTTTCATTAAATTGCTCTAGACTTACCTGTATGCAAATGAGAGCAAAATTTATTCATCTGCTTAGCCAAATTTCACCACTACATAGGAGTAACCTTGTGAAAAGCAGAAAAACAACACTGCACTGTAAAAAAACCACAGTACAACCATATCTTTATCATCAATCAGTAAAATACTGCATGGCTTCTGAAAATGTATTTGGTGACAAACAAACCATGTATTATTTTTAGAACCTTTCATATAGTCTTAATTGCTTTAAATTACTGCCAAAGTTGTTTCTACAAATTAATGGATGAAATAGGTACGTTGTACATCTCAGTCTCCCAAACTGCCTCCTGCCAGAACGTTCTGCCCCACCGCTCATTTTATTCCAGGGAAAATTTATATCAAGTATATTGTACTGGGTCTGGCCCGTGACTGCTTTGCAGTCACAAGTTTTCTTTTGCTGTCCTTCACACCCATGAGATACGATCACGCTCCAGCCCAGAGCCATGTGGCCACACTGAGCCAGTGCTGAGACCAAGCTCACAAGACCTGCTGAAAAATAAGGTCTATTAGCTGATTTTGCAGTATCACGGTGATGGGTCTTTTTGGGAAGAACCTACCTGTATTCGGCCACTGAGCGTGAATATCTGAACATACAGGCTCCTCTTTGCAGAAATACGGATGGATAAATAACTCGGGAAGGTCTGGAAACATCCAAAGGCTCTTAGAAGCCATGGTCATAGCTGTTTAACTTTTTTATGGACCTCACAGGAGTTCATACAGATTTCTGAACTGATCCTTCTTTCAGTAAAGTCAACAGTGAAATTCTCATTAACCTCCACAGGAACTGAACAAAATCACTACATGCAAAATATGTCTTTTTTTTTTTTTTTTAAATAATGCATTTAAAGTCTTATCAGCTCACACGGTCTTTCACAAACCTCTTGTTAATTGAGCTCTAGTATTATCACCTCTTGTTGCCAGTATCATCAACTTCCATTTGAAAAAAAGTTACTGGCTCTTACAGCTGTAAAGCAGAAAACCTGAATACTAACTGCCCAACCCTATAAAGAACTCCACATTTACTATTTTTTAAATGGCATCATTCTAAAGCTAAGCCCATAAACGCTGAGTGCCTGGCTTTGCTGACACTGAGAGGGGAAAATTCAGATGACCGAGAAAATCCAGCTCTTTCCATCCTGAATTTACAGCAAGCGTGTGGCTCATTTGTATGCCTCTTCCCTTCCAGAATGGAGCATAGCAGAGCAGGCTTACAACTGCTGGAAAATGTCATTGTGTCTTTGACATATAGGTCAACATATAGATTTGAGGATCAGACAGAACTGAATGTTCCTTTTTAAAAAGATTTTAACATAAAACTTACTATAGCACGTTAAGGCTGCAAACTGTGGTACAAACCTTTTCTTTGCATCAGCTAATTACCAGGGATTTTTTTTTTTATGTAGAAGGCTCTTTTTTTCTGAATTTTGGACTTGCACACAAATAACTATAAGCATATTTTAAAGCATATTTTAGTGCCTGATAGTGCTCATAAATCAGGTAGTTATACTTGTAATAATTTCTGTGAGTGGGTGTTCATGTGAGTGAGAAGATATGCAAAATTGGAAGGTGAGATGAGCCATGATGAACATTAAAGGTCCGGAAGCAGATCGATAGCTGGTGTAAATTGTCAGGGCTTCATTGATTTCAATGGTCTTATGATAAATACTAATTCAGCTGGTGCTAAAAAAAATGTCATCAGCTGAGCATCTGGTCGATAACAGTGGAGAATGCAGAATGAGGCATCAGTGCTGCCTCCACACTCAGCACTTGCATTGAATCTGCGTGGTGCAAAAAGGTAAAATTCCCTGTTTATTCACGTTTTTTGAAATCTCATGCATTGGCTGGAGTAGTGCATGTGGGTACGCACATGGAGAGAAAGATGCATATATATATATACAAGAAAGCATTTTCTGTGACAAACAAATACTTACACGGCTCTTACTGCTGTGATGGTACTTTTATCTTCAAATGAAAAAAAAAAAATTTCAAGATACTGTATGAAAATTACTTGTACAAATTTGTTGCACTTCTGTGAGGTTTTTCATTCATCCCAATAGCAGGGGAAACTAAACTCAGAATAGGCTTTAATCCGCTATTTACATAGAATACTTAAATTCCTTTTGGCAACTAAAGCTTACTAAAGAAATGATAGTTTTGCATGTGTATGAATTACTGAGAATGATAATATCAACAAAAAGGAATGAAGCCAGGTTGCACATAAAAATCTGCTTCCTGGGTGATTCTCAACGTTTTCTTCTAAACATTTTTCACCAGATAAAGTTCATTACCTTGTTCTAACCATTTCCCATTTCACAAAGTTAAGTTTTTACTGAATCTGTAAATAAGAAATCAATTATACAATAACATTAACAGAACCTAAGAGAAAGGGGACTTTGCGCATGGCTGGTGGTGAACTCATTGATTCTGCTGCGTAGTTCTCTTGAACGCCTTATCAAATGCCGCTAATTTCTAGTCTGCGTACAAATGTATTGATGTGCCAGAATTAAATCAAATTAGAATGTTTAGCATAAAAGCCCGTTCGCCATGTTTCAAATTGTTCATATTTATTTGGAGGCCTCAGAAGGACATCTTAATATTATAGTGTTATTATTTCAAATAGAAAAAGAGATTTTTAATGTCATTTAGAGAAAGTCCCTTAGCTCACAGGCTGAAAAAAAGGCAGAACTGCTGCAACAGATATTTTGACAAGAGCTTTGAATGAAAAATAACAAAACCTCTGCAGGGAGTTTCCCATTAATCTAATTTATTTGGGAGCACATTTTCACAATAATAATTAAATTACCTAATGTTCGCTTACATTAAAAAGCGATCATCTGTAACCGTTCATTACTAGAAAAAAGGGGGGGGGGAAAGGCCAATATTTTAAACTAGCACCACAGGAAAAAAACAACAACTTAGAAACATCAAAGGAATACTGTGATGTTTGACAGCTTCCTATGAATTCAGCTGTTTCATCTCTTAGTGAAGTTGGCAACAGAAATTTCCAGCATTTTCTCTGCAGTGGTGTCTTTAAAGTTGTAACATGTATATTTGTTAGACATCTCTATTCATCCGGTTTTCAGGGTGTTTCAAGAACCAAAATACCCAATAATTAAAGTCTTGTGACATATTTAGTACAGACAACGAAAACAACAACTACATTTTCCTATGGAACATTATATTCAGGTAGTTCATCCATGCCTTGCAAGTCTTCAGTGGGTGGAGAATACCACGTATAACCAACTGAGATACCATTGAGCAAAATGCGTTTTTATCTGCTTTATTTCTCCTAGAAATGTCAGCACAGCACATTATATTGCCTGTAATTGTAATAGATAAACGAGACAATGATTCCATTGTTATCTTTTTCTCAAAATGGTAGAATACATTTTCTTAAAAAGGTCTGCAAACATATTTACAAAAGTGTGAAAGCAATAAATGCAGGCTTTTTATATTTTTACTGAACTTCCAAAGACTGACTGATATCCTAATTTTATTGGAAATCTGGTCCAAGGATGATACAAGAAATAAAATATCACACTCAGTTTTGCTTTCTTGTAGGCTACCATGGAAAACAAATCAAACAGATAAATATTTTAAAAAGAACAAACTTATATTCCATGAAGCATAATGAAGATATTCCAAAACCATTTCCCATATCTTTATTTTGTTTCAGCTTTAAAACATTTCTTGGTCTTTCTTAATGTTGTGTTAAAACGTGGGACACCATCTTACTTTTGGAAAGCCAGCTGCTGTAATGTAATTATAAAGTAGCCACTAAAATATCATTCACGGTATCTGCATCACAGGAATGGACTTTTTTTTCAAACAGGAGTGATAAAATTTGTGTTGTTGCCTTCATCTTTCACATTTTAAATACTGTTGGCTGACAGAAATAAAGTGTAGTGTCATGCTTGGTTTACCTAAATCATTTATTTTGTAACTAATAAAAGTAAACAATTACCAGATACTGTATATATAGAGATATATAGATATATGGCCACAAATAAACTATAGTAGAAAGTTATTTTGGTTGTGATAAAGTTAAGAAAAGCACATAAAATCATATTTCATGAATATCTTGTTTTATGGCCATCAATATTTTTGTATTTTTTTGTTTTGTTTCATCAACATAGCAAAATACAATCTTCCTATTAAACAATAATTATCAGATGGCAGACAATTCTTTTTATTGGTTTACATTGGCAGGTCACAGTCTAAAAGCACAACCACATCAGGCAGAAATTGCACACAGACCGCCCTGGATTTTGAAGACTATTTTTTATGCTTCTACCAAAAGAGCTTAATTTAAAACTGGGGACTGTAACAAGCACTAATTAAATACATGGATTTCCTTTTTTTTTTTTTTTAATGGCTAAATAAAGTGACTGAAATTGCAGTACTTTATTTTGCTTTCAGCTTCAGTTTTAATGTTTGTGCTTGATGTTAGCAAACACGCTTTGAACTTCCTAGCAATCATTTATGAAAGTTCAATCACCCAAATAAAACCCAGGTGATTTTTTTTTCCTGTCATGGAATACTGCAGATTTATTTCAAGTAGGCCTGTTCCTTGGCTTTTTTTTGGTGTTGGTATTTGCATTTTTAACTTATTCCTGAAAACTAGGGGAGAGTTGTGTGTAATACTAAGACATCATACAGTCACAACGTCAGTATTTCTGTAAGAAATGGTTGTAGGTGGGACTGGCCCATAAATATGTGGTTGTATTAGTTGTAGAAGGCATGTTCATGTCTTCAAAAACCAGACTGGTCTTAAGATATTACTCTTTATTTGAGACAGTTACCATTACTTCATTAAAAAATGACAAAACAGCAATAAACATTTTAGCTCTTTAATGAGCAAAGATCAGGTCTCTTAGCATTGGAATAATATTCGTTATCCAGATTATCTTTATTTCACTCAGTGACCAGTAATATGGCCAAGAAGTACAAAGTAATTTTCCATCAAGTAGTATACAATTTTTGTGTGTAATAAGCTTTCATTCTTGAAAAAGAGTAACTGAAAAGAAATGTTTCTGTTACTGCAGTTAGTTTGTCAGAGAAAGTTCTTCGCATTATCTTACAAACTATCAAAATTGCTAGTAATTTGAAAAAATGTAAAAAAAAATCACATAACTTTAGTCTAATAGAAATATAGTACAGGTAAGAGAGAAAGTATTTATCAGGGATGTGCTCTTAAGTCCATCTCAATTATTTCTTTTATATAAATGTACATCTGATTACATATACAAACATTTTGAAAGGACCAGGGTATATAATTACTGGAAAGCAACAGGGGAATGAAAAATTTCTTGTGATTTTAGAACATTCATTTCAAATCACACAAACATATGTAGTATTCAGATTTTAAAATTTCCAGTTGTTGGCTCTCTCCCCGTTCTTACATACCCTCCTTTTCTACACTGTTGCCATCTGGTCTAGAGAATTCATTTGAATGGCAAAGCTAATGTATAGCAAAAAGGGAATTAACTTTATATTAAAGTATTATAAGTAAACTTTGTAACATGCAACATGAGTTGAAACAATAAACTGAAAGGTGTAATCAGAGCGGTAATATTGGGGCATTTTTATATTGCAAAATATCATTGCAATTAAATTTTTGGACACACTTTACCTTACCAATTTGAACTGAATATATTGTAACTAAATCACAGCAGATTATAAATCCTTCATCAAAGGAGACTCCATTGAAGTTATAGTTATGTTAAAGTTAGAAATTATTTAGGTGGAAAGGAAAAAGAACATTAATAATACAGATTTTTTTGTCTGGGATTCGTACCAGCAAGGGTTCACCACTGTATACCTAGAATGCCATAAGTATCTTTAAGAACTGTTGCAATTCCTTCTATTTCTGAAGCTACCATGAAATATTTTACTGTAATTACTTTTGCCCCTTTAAAAAACTTCTTTAGGTTGTGCCAATTGATAGAGAAAGCTTCTATTAAAAACTCCAATGGGATGAGAAGAATTTTAATTACGGCTTAATCAGCAGCACAGCCACCAAGCATATAAATTATCATGCACATCGTGCTAAAAATATCCAGTTTCCTTTATTCCCACACCTTTTATACTGACAGCACTTATGTGATAATGTTGTACCTGCCAGGCTGTAAAACTTCTTTGACTGGCAGATTTCAGCATGAGCCCCTTTCTAAGGCCTTAACAGCATTGGTGCTTTGTGTACTTATTCAAATATGTAAATATGGTCTACACAAGAAAACAGGTCCAAATAAAAATTGGTGAAAATTATCTGACATTCCATTAGTGTGTCCCTTGTGCATATTTATAGGTTTTTAAAATTTTCAGTCATAGTTCTTTCCTGTTTGTGTTGCACATGCCTAATTCCATTATGTAACTTAAATCTTCAAAAAATTAATACTTGAATGTGAATGAAAAAGTATCATTCAGGACAACTGCTTCAAGCAATTGCAAACAGTTGGGTTTTTTTGTTTTTTCTTTTGTTTTGTTTGTTTGTTTCTTAAGTTCATTTGATATATGTACAATTCATTTTTTTCAAAACCCCAAAAGTTCTTGATATGTATATTCACATAATATTCCTCCATATTTAAATAGTAAGAGTCTTGTAGGTTGAAAGCCAAGTAATCTTCAGTAATATCACCTACTGAAATCCATCAAAAAATAAAGTTTGTTTCGTCTTGTCTGGCTATACCCTGGTTGTTGAGTGTGAATGGGGGTGGGGATGAGGATGGGGCAGAGTATTGTTCTGTCCTCCGGTAAATGTATTGAATGTGTGTAGGGGTTGAATCCCTGGTATAGTGTTGGGAATCATTGTGATGGTGTTGGGTGTCATTAAGGGAATATCATCAGGAGACCTTCTCATAGCTAGCGTGTAGTCTGGGGGACAGGCGGTCCTAAGAACCACCTCATGTGGATGGATGGACTCACATTCATGATCCAAGTCAGTGTGCTTCATTTGGAGGGACATTATCTCCTCTTCTTGTGCATGGGTAAGATCATTGGTAGTAGTACGTTGTGGGCTACATCTCCTATGAACATCATGTCTCCGCTTGTCTTTTTTGTAGTACAATGCTGCGAAAGCCAAAATGTTCAGGAACAGCAAAGATGCACCAACTGCAATAGTAACACTCAATTCTGTTGAATAGTCCCTTTGATCCACTGAAAATGGGCTTGGTTGTTGTTTGGGATCATCTTGTTTGGCTGTAGGAAAGGCTGAAGTAACAGAAACAGAATTTTTCCTTGTTGGTCTGAAAGTATTATCAGTTGATGGCACTTTAGTTGTGGTAGAGGTATACTGTGAAATGTCGTTAAGATTGTGCAGATGAGGTACCAGTTCCAACCAAAGGTTCACTTTATTGGCCCTATAATGTTCTTTAACTCGTGGTTTTAATCCAATGTGAAGATACAGTTGGTCTTTCTGAGAATATCTGGTCCATGCTACTTCTTCAAAACGATTTGGTTTTGTATGGATGAATTTTGTGTCTTGCGGCACTGGTTGATTTGGGTCACTAAAAAAAAAATCTCCAATGTTACAAAGTATTTCAAAAGGAATTATAAAATTAACATAATTACGATTTTATGCTTAATGTTTAAGTCTGCCTTTGGACAGAGCAGAATGCTATTTCCTAAAATTAGAGGCCTTAATAATCTTGATTAGAAACAGCATTATGCAAACGAACCCTTCTTTTACATAGACTTCAGCAACTTCCCTATTTCCCCAAAATGCTAGCATCTCTCACACTGAAATCTTTTACTGCTGAGGACAGATTGCCAGCAATGTGGTTATGCAGACAAATGTCTATGAGAGACCAGTGTGAGAGGACATGAAGCTTTGCTTTTCTTTTTTAGTAACATAAAGCTCATAAAGCTCAGCATTTCAGTTCATATGCAGTTACCTGTGGCCTTCCAGAGGGGAAAGACCGTGGCAGGGCATAACCCAGTATAACACATAGCGACTTAGAGTCCAATGGCCAAAGGTAGAAAAGTGGTTTGAACTACCAGTGAAAGAAGAATTAATGAAAATAACAAAACTTTTCAAGTTTAAAGTCACATATTTTATGGCCAGAAGTCTCAATTTAAAACAAAATACATTATTAAAATAAGCTGTATTATATTTGATGCAATATTTATATAATTTTCTGTCTCATGGGATGAAAATATTATCAGCGCTGGAGTAAAGTCAGTTGCTAATATAACCATTTTTAACTATACACATATGTTAAATGCTTAGTTTTGCACTTTTCTGGGGATCCCCTAATTATTTTTGTGTACAAGTATTTTTTTAATTTCTTCATGCAGAGTGTTCGCAAAGATATTTTTTCCCTCTTTTTGCTAGAATGTATAAGTGAGCTGAGGGACATTACAATAAACATAAATATTCAACCCAATTCTTAATCTCTTATTCATCCTACAAGTACACAGACATTCCCAAGGGAGATAACCAAGGGAAAGCACCGCATCATTATATCCTGAGTTTGTATACAAGATTATTTATCATCTGGTACTCACCCAGTTTTTGCAAAGTTTGTCCAGTACGTCATCACCACCGCACTTAGCATGACATCATTTTTGGAGAAATTACAAGGAAATAATTCAGTAGGACCAATCATGGGGATTCCTAGTACGTAAGGAACCTCATCTCCATGGGCTGCATCTGCCCATGCAGGTACCTGATCTGTCTGGCAATGATGGTAGAAGGCATAGAAATACGTAGGCGATCCAAAATTTGAGTGAAGATCTGCTGTAGCCACTGCTGGTGCAACCCACTGGTGATCAGTAAACAAAGCCAGCAGTGTTTTCCTTCTGGTCTCAGGATTGTGTCGATCTGCCCAGTCCGTGTACATAAATTTAATCGTTTCCCTCAATATATCTTTGCCTTCAGGGTATCCATATAAGTTATCGACAAAATTGGAAACTGCAAAGTCAAAATCACTAGCTGATATGCCATCTTCGCTATCCACAATGTTTTCAACAAATTTTAACCCTTCCCCTTGGTTAACTCCCAACATGATGTCATAATTGAGGAATTCTCCTTGTTCCATCAATATCTGAGGATCATCTGGTATCACATCACCATCAATTACTGGTCCAAAGGCTATATGGTATCTTGCTGGTTGAATGTCCTGGTCGACAAGTTCTCTATAAGGCTTCTTCTGTAGACATTCTACCAATTCTACAGTGTCTGACATGTTGCAACCAACTTTTGTAGCCAACATCCTGGCGTATTTTGCAGGCTGAAAACTAACTGCCCAGCTGGAGAGAGCTGTTCCACTTTGAGCTATTGCTCTTTGAAAAAGTCCTGTGGGGAGAAATATTTAAAAACTACTGAAGTGACCTTGAAACAGCTACATACTTGAAAGATTCAAAGGAGTTCTTTGAAACAATAGAAAACTTTAACAGAAGAGATACTTGAATCTTAATAATACTTAAATACACAAGATGGTGAGATCTGACTGTCATTGTACCTACAGGTAATGCATACAAAATAAATGCAATATGTGCAGAAATTGAAGCAAATTATTCTACCTCAATGTAGTCCAGCTGAGGAACAAATTTTCAAAAGAAACACAGGAAGAAAAAGAAGTGGCATTACTTTATGTAGGATAACACTATTAGCTTGAAAGAAATTCCTAAAGTTAAAGCAATTTATAGGTTGGAGGCAAAGCCAACAAGTCTCTGAAATGGATCGAATTTCTGGATACTGTTCAAGCCATCAGCAGCATGCGTGCATACAACTATGTGTTAAATAAACCTCATATACTGCTTTTTAATGTTTTGTTTGGGATTCAACTTGGTTTGAGAGGTGCAGTGTTTTTGAATTGTATATCATAGCAAAAGTTTATATTCTGGAGTAATACATGAGAAGGTCCTAGGCAGCTATTAAATTTATAAGTGTCTAAGAGTTAAGATCCTTTCTGTAAAGAGTTTTTTTAACAAAGGTTTATAGTGATCACACTTACATAAAAAGGGAAATGATATATTTTACACTATTTAGGCTTTGTAATTCAGAGATTTAAACATATGTTCAGCTATTCATTTAGGGGAGAGAGAGAGCATGATCTGGCGCTGCATATAAACTTGTAGCAAATCCCAAACACTTCAGTGCAATTAATTTGAATTTATGCTGATTTAACTAGCACTCTGGACCAGGAATTCTACTCATAGAAATAACAAAATATGTTTAAATTGACGTTTTCCTCTCCCTTCTGTAAGCATTTTTGAGCATATCATGGATGAAAGCCTCACTCCCTTGTAGTCAATGAATCAATCCAATTTTTTTGCTATTGACTTTAATGCAATCAAAACTCCACCCTTGTTCCAATACTTCTTGTGCTTCCTTTGTTTGGGGCTTTGCCTTTTCCTGCTCCCTTTGGGGAGGGCAGTTCGGGTTCTGAAAGACATTTGGAGTCTGAACCTTGCACAAAATAATGCTCATCTCTCATGTCAGAGACGTAGACTGTATTTAGGTACCTGTGACCTTTTGCATTTTCATGGAAGTGCATCCAGCTCATTTCAGAAGCACGTCTTTTGCACTAATTACTGGAAAATATTTTATCCTGGACCCTACCTCCTATAGCTCACTGTGGGTAATACAAAATGGTCCACAGTATATGTAAGTTATGTTGATTTAAGATATATGAGTCAAAATTTGGTTTTACTTATGCTGATAGGTGCCTGGAGTAATTCCACTGGCTTTGGTAGTTGCTTAGGGACTGGAAGTGACATCTGGCCTCACTCACTTAATTTTGCTAAGAATGTATTCTTTGGTCCAATGCTTGATGAATAGCTGGATACTCCCCCTAAAGGAACTGGAGTTAAGGTGCTCAGTTTACCTCAAAATTTCATTGCAATAATGCAAAAGATGGCTTTTACTTTGATAAGTAACATATTTCTATTGATAAAAAACTCCCATAGCCTCTAAATCAAGTCAGAGACATGCTTTTACAGCCTCTATTGCAGTACCAGACCCTGTACACTCAGAAGTTAGTTGGAATCCGTTGCCAGCAGGAAACATTTTACAAGCTTCTGAGGAATTTTAAAATCATTCTAGACTATATTAGGTCCAAATCCAAAAGTCTTAAAATCAGGTAAGCGTAGGGACTGAAATAAGTAAACTCAAGCCTCTTCTTAAATTTATGAGAAGTAGTATCCAAGATATTATTCCCTTGCGAGATATGAGTAAATAATAAGAAAGAACTTGAGTTATAAAGCAGGTAAAAATATATTTGTGTGTTTACAAGGTCAGATATTGAGCTAGTATAAATCAGCTCAAAGTCAGTAGAATTACCACAGAGGAGCCAGGCATTGTAATAAATGACAAAACTGAATTTTCACGACGATGTATTTCATAATACTTCATAATGTTTCTTTTTTGCATATTGTGTAAATCTATTTTTATTGCTTTATTAAATATCTCTGAACAAGGACAGAAAGTGTAAGAAAATGCTGATATAAACACTATGGTTTGCTAAGTGCTACATAAATATTAAATGTTGGATTAAGTAAAAGTGGTCAAGTCCTCTGGCCATAAAGTTATCTTAGGAAATGAAACTAAACATCCCTCCTTCTGCTGAAGAATTCTTATGGAAATATTCCTCCTCTCAAACCATTTAGTGAAAAATGAACAATAGTATGAAAAATTATTTTCATTCTGTCACATAATTCCTGGCAGACATTGGTACTACACAGGATGGAGCACTGCATTTTTATCTGATAATGTGTATGATTATTATAGCTTATGGGCTTCAGACTGGTGGAAAGAAGATCTAAATGTTCAATGGACCATATAATTTTGTGACTCCTGTTCAGTCTCACCAAATAATAATAATTTGCATATATTCATCTACATTTTCAGAACACTTTCTAAAGATGGGTGCTCTTCTGCCCACTTGCAGATGGGCAGCTATGAACAGCACCATCTTGAAATAGGCCGAATGCATCCTCTCAACTACCAAGGGATCCTTTCAAAGGGAGATGAAGGAAGCAAAGAGAGCATCCGAATTTACAGCTTATGAAAAAGAATGGTTAATAATGTGAAACAAAAGTTTTTTTGAAAATGATAAGACATTTGAAAGTGTTTGAAAACTTGAAATAACTTTTCTTATTTGAAGCTGACCAATTTTTATTTTAATACTTTTTTTTAATGGCAGGTCTAACTATCCCCAAATGAAACATAACATACATGGGGGTGTGGCACATTGTTCTGTTTAATCCAAATTTCAATAAAGCATGTTTTTGCTTTCTTATAAAAGAAATCCTCAAAAATTTACTTTTACAATTGGATTTTAAGTATACATCTGTAAGCCCTCTCCAATCCCCTCCCGAATCCTTTGATCTCCTCTCTTGGCAAATTACCGCATCAGTTTCCCTAAACAAATTCTGCTCCTGGCAGAATTCTGCCACGTGTTAGAAAATGACAGGGTAAAATTTGCTGATAAGAGGCAACACATGACTGTCCAGATATTGTAAATGTGGCATTTCACATTAATGTCGTGTGATCAAGAAGATCAAGATTAAGATCAAGTAAGAATTAGGGGAGGATAAACCAGATCTCCTCATTCAACCTTAAGCTAAATCCTCTATGACAAAAGTTATTTTTGTGAGTTCTGATGAAAAAAGATGGTGCAGTGTGACCCTCAGATTACAGTGTAATGAGGTAATGCTTACATCTCGTTCTTATAGGCCAGTTTATAAATATTTCCTATTTAACTGCAGGTAGTTATGGAAAAAAAGATTACATTAAAAATCAAATTCTGGAAATAGACTAAAATTTAAACCACAGTCTATTTTCCACTAGACTTTTCTTGTAAAAGCTGTATTTTTCTCTCATTTAAAATAGTGTAAAGGCCTAATCTAAAGAATCTGTCACTTCTGTCACTGAGTGTCACCCACTTCAGTGGGCTTTGCATTATGACTTTGAGTAAATGCAGCTCTTTTAATGTCAGTGGAATTATTTTTTTATGACTGGCCAATTAGTCCCCCATGGAGATACAGCAATATAAGTTAGTGGAGGATTGTATGCACAGGGCACAGTGTGATGTCCCTGGTAAAGCTAAACAATACAGATAAAAATGTGTGAAAGCAGTGAGACAAAAGTAATGTGATCAATAAGCAATAGCCATGCAAATGAGCGAAACTGTGTGGAACTCTGGTGCAAAAATCATAGGAAAAAAATTGGGTGCCTCAAACAGCATGTTTTTAATTCCCTGCTGTCTGCCTCAACTAGAGAGAAAAGGTGTTAGTTATGGAATAGGAAAAAACATATAGAAGAAAATCCATTTGCAACTTGGATGCTTTGACAATTTTGGATCATGCATGCAAAACATTCAACCATTCTTTTATTAGATGACAGCAAGTGAAGTTCATGCAGTTTCAGACAAAAGATTTCTGAACTAGGTACTTGTTTCCTTCACACAAAATAATAGTTTTAAGCATTTCAGCTGTTAGCCTGAAAAGAGAAACTGTGTCATTTTAGTTTTCTTTAAATTCTGCTTCTCATGAGTAACTAAACATGCCTTTCATGACTGTCTGAATATAGACGACCTCATCTACTGTGAGCATGATTGACTGGTTTTCCAAAAAGGGACACCCTTAGGTAGGAAAGAAAAGAGACAAAAATGATGCACCGAGAAAATGCTGTTCAGAAGTCTGTTATAAAGTGTTTCTACAAAGCTCCATAGGAAAAAGAAGAAAGTGACCCAAAATTTAAACATGCACAGAAGAGCTGAGGGAGAAGGTGGCTTGCACAGCCTTTAAAAAGTTTGCTAAATATTCAGCTGAACTCAACAGTTCATAGGAACAAAGAGAATATACAGAGCATCACATAGTACTAATGGCGGTGGCATGCAGACACCAAAATTGTCAAAATTTGCAACCTGCATAATACCTTTGGTTGAATTGCTCCAACGGTTACCTTCAGAATAATGGGATAAAGTCAACAGATTGACGCATGAACCGCCTGCACCAGATCCAAAAACAGTTATTCTTAATGGGTCACCACCAAAGAACCCAATATTTTCACTAGTCCATCGCAAAGCTTGAATTAGATCAAGGAGGCCATAGTTTCCTTTTGCTGCTTGGTCCCCAGTGCTCAAAAATCCTGTGAATGTAAATGAAAAAAAAAAAAAGGGTTAGCAATTGCTCTTCTGAGTAATCCTTTTGCAATCTTCTAAGTAAGATTTCAAAAGTAGATGCTATTAAATATTATGCAACTACATAATTTTCCATATTCACTGGACAACAATTTGCAATTTTGTACTCTTCCTGAAACAAATTATTTGGTATTCACTCTTTTGGCCATGATATATTAATGTAGGAAAGATGAAGATACATCCCAGGCAAAATACTCATCTAAGTCTTAACAGGTCACAGCGTATTACTCCCAAAGACTTCGTGTTGATTGTACTAAGTTTAAGAGTAAAGGTTTAGCAAACAGATATGCTGCAGTCATTTTGTAAGTGATTTGGTCAACTGTGTATTGCACTTCTGTACTTAGGTGCAGCCATAAGAGGCAACGGTTACACTTCTCTGTAGACTGTGTTTGGTTATGTCCCGGCAACATACTATTTTTTCCTTTTTTCTCCCCCCCCAAAATGCAGCTTATGTCACAGCACAAGCCAGGTTGAACAATGTGAGCAGCTCTCAACTCCCTGAGCTCCGTCCCATAGTCATTAACCTGAGTTAATTGAATCTACATTAAATGGATAAAGACAATTTAAGCTGTTTCCGTGACCCCTTAAAATCAAAAAGATAAGAGCTCAGGGGAGAGCACAAGAATTGCTCCCTTTCATTCATACTGGAAGAAAAACGGCAGAACGCATCAGGTGCAGGAACAACTGTTTTACGCTTTACTCCCAGCAGTACCCTCATATTTAGTATTGCTGTTACTCTTGTCATTAGAGCCTACTGACTCTAAAAATGGACAATAAAAACTTGGAAGAAAGTCTGTGTTGATAAAAGACATTGCTTTGCTTTTGGTTCCCATTTGTTGCCATTTCCAATTTTCTCAGCTTAATAAACAAATGTTTAAATAATACCAGCATTACGAAGTAGCCCAGCACCTCCATTTGCATATCAAACTGATTTAATGCTCACTAAATCGACAGTGTAACTGTTTTTCAGTACATGCTTTGTAGAGAAATGCAACCATTACAACAATTATTTCCACATTAATTAGATATTAGTGGGTCTTCTAGTCTCATCAGAGTTCTACTGATTTAACTCTCTTGAGTGCAGACAGCCTACTCAAAAGAAGTTTACAGTAGTTTTTCAGACAAATGGTTCTCAAAGGAGTCCTACTGTTTCATTATGACAATAAAAGCAGCTTTTGAGACATTTCTAAGAAGAAAGACACGTGTGCGTATATGTATATGAAGTAAGGGTTTAACAAGAGTACAGATAGGTGCATGCGTGTATCTATATTCATGTATATAATGAACATGTCATTTGTTACTTTATTATTATGATGATTTGACTTCAAACCGCAAGCTTACATTTGGTATTCTGTCATAGATGTAGACATTTATACTAACAGACCTTCTTTGCTGTAAACCGCACTGAAAACTAATTGGCCTCGCTGCCTCCATAGCTGGGCTATGCTGAGTTTAGGGCGAGCAGCTTTGTTTGTGTAGGTCAGTCCTGACTTTTGTTACCATGGAGAGGGAACAGGAAAGTGGGATAAGGTGCCAGGCCAGCAATTCTCCCAATTCCAGACCTAATGTACCAAGTCTAATGGGCATACTTCATTCACTGTAGCCATAGTAAATTGTTACTCTGATACTAGACTTTAAAATAACCACTATTCTACAATTAAAACCTGTCACATTTACTACTTAACTACTACTTAAAAAAGCAAAGTAGCATCACTACCATAAAAGAAAATACCACCTTGATATTCAGGGAAAGCCCAGAAAGGAAGTCATAAATATAATTAATTCATTCTCATTCTACTATTAGAGCTCGGTACTGAGTTGAGATGAATATGATGTTATTTTACTCTGCTTCACTCCCTTTCTTTTTCTTCTGTGTGGCCAGAGGGGCTGGTGTGCATGCCTATGTGAAAGGATGGCCCCAGTATAATCTTTCCTGCACAGAAGCATTCGTTCCTGTCTTCACGCTCCAGTAAAATGTTGTCCCCCATAAATATTTTTTAAGGACACAGAGAGATGATGTCTTTGAATCTATGACAGCAAATCTAATGAAAGCTTCCTAACCAGTCTCACTGCCTTTGTCAGCCTGCTTGGAGTTGAGGGATGGTACCAGTGACTGTAACAAAATTAAAATGGGAACTACAGGATCCTGTGGCTGCACATGCTGGGAAAGTCTTTTTTGTGTAAGTATATGACTGTAGAAAATCAGTGACAAATCAGTTATCATATTAAGCACATAAATGACTGCACTGATTTAAGGGATTAGAGGAACGATTGACACTGACTTTTTTTGAAACACAGGCAGCAATGAGATGAGAGCAGTTAGAGCAGTTACCAAAACTGCTCCCTAAACAAGTCCTGCTTTGCTTTTTCCCCTTCCCCTGGCTTGCAGATTCCCTGGGCCTGGACGGGATCTGCTCTCAGCATTGCTGCAGCATTGGTTCAAAAAGACCCTGTTGATTCCAAGGCACTTATTAGGAAAATAGATGGTAGGGTTATAGCTGAGACACAGTGATCACCCTGAAGGAAAACTAATGCTAACACTCAAACTTTCTGAAAAAGCTGTTTTCCATACTGTGTATAATATGCAGCAAAGTGGAAAGCAAGTAAGTCTTTGCCTGGAAAAGCAACAGATGAAAATTATAGGTAAAGCTTTAGGGCAATCCCCTGCTGTTAAATGAGTTCACATCAAGCCCCAAAGCTTGGTGGGGAAATGGGAAACACTTGGGAAACTATAAATATACTAGTTTTAAAGAATCTTTGCGAAAAGGATCTTAAAAAGAGAGCAAAAGAGGAAATGTCTCCTGTTGCTTAAAGTAGACATCAGGAACCTTGCATTCAGTTCAGGAAATGTGCCAGAAGAGGGAGCTTTCAGTTTATTTAAAAAAAAAAAAAAAAAAAAAAAAAGATAAAAGGGAAAAAAAAAGGAAGTATTAGTAATATTCTCCTCATTCATCTATATTAGACAAATTATGACTTGTGTCCAGAGCAACAGCTCCGATGCAAAAGAAATATCTCACGCCTCCTCAGCAAGAACCACATTGGCTGACTTCCATATCTACACAAGATGGATGATTATTGATGTTGACTTTCATGACATGAAACATTTCTATCTCATTTTTCAGAACCATAAGAAGCCTGTTAATATCGCCACCTGTTCATGCCTTTTTTCTTGTATGCAGTAGTATCAGCATGGCTTAGAAGCATTCAAAATATCATGAAATCAGAGATAGGACTGATAAAGCAGATGAGGTTTTTCTTTCCAGTTTTTTTCCTAGCGAGGAGTGCCTCAATACAGATAAACTCATCTAACTAAACTCCTGTAGAGAAATGCTTTAATGCACAGCATCATATCCAGTCTGCAGGTCTGTGGGTGCAAGTACTTTACCTCTATTTATCACTTGGATAAAATAGAGATTGCAACACTGTGTTTTGTCTTTATCCCAAGAGGAGCTTTCAGAACGTAATTAATATTGATACCATACATTTCTATGCATTTCGATGACACGATCATTACACTACTATCTAGATATTAAGCTAGCAATTTTGAGTCACAGAGATGAACCTGCTCTTGCTGAAAAGGGCTTGTGTGTCTGAAAGCTTGTCTGTTTTTCAAACCGTATCAGCTAGTCTATTAAAATGTATTATCCCTTTCTGCAAACGCTGTCTTGTTATTCTTGGACTGTCATCTCACTAAGAATGCTGCTATCATACGCTACCACCTTTTGCTCTTGTAAAAAAAGTTAAGTAAATTATTCCTTATTTTAGTTATTCCAGGAAGACATTTGCAAAAAACTTATTTTTTCATTATTCTCTAAAAAGGTCAGATTGAGCTAATTTTGTTCCATGATTAAGTCCTTCTACTGGAAATATTCCAATCATCAGCTGAACAATTGCTATTTTATATTCTGAATGGAGAGGTTATCTCTTCTTTCATCTCCTCCAAAGGAGCAGACTCTAATAGAATTATGGAAGTGAGGATGTGCTCTTTTGTGAGTTTAAGAAAGAGATTTATTAAGCTCATTTGGACTATTTCTCTGTTACATGTCCATTAGACAAATAGGCAGTGTGCGCCACAACCAGGCCCTGTATTTTGTGTTAAGATAAATTTTAATGCTTTATAGGTTTATCTGCCTGGGTAATGATTTCTGCTTGCCATTCAGATAAATCTTTTTCTAATATGATTCCAGCATTTTTGAAGAGTAAATAAAATAATAAAGTTCGGAAAGTTAAAATATTTTGTTGAAAACCTTAGTAGATTGAATTATTTTAAGCTCTGGCCTAACTTGAACATTCAAATTAATGCAGAAGAGAAGGATTAATGCAGAAGGGAAGGCCAAAACAGATTTTTTCCTAATGTAAGGGACTGCTACAACCCGATGATGCAGTAAAAGACTAGGCGCAGGCTGGTGGATACATAAGAGAGAAGTAAACCTTCCCTCTGATGAGTTCTGTCCATATAAGTGTTTCATAACCCAGCAATGTTCGTGACTGGATTAAAGTAAGGGGAAGAGTGTCTTGCTGGACAAAAAAAAATATCTGCCTGTGAGAAAATACACAGTAGCAAATGCTACTCTAAAAATAAAACAGAAGAGTTTATAAAACTGGTCTGACATGCTTAAAGGGTTTTTTCGAAGAGCTGTGTTACTGAAAGCAGAAACACTTAAGACTTTAATATTACCCACCTGTTTAGACATGTGTTATAATAATTTAGCTATGTTTCCAGTTACAATTCCATATGCAGTCAAATGTCATCTTTTCTTTTTTTAAAAGCAAATGTTAAATTGTACAAGTATAAATGCATCAACGCATAGTGGAAGAATACAGGGCATATTTTGAGGGAAGAATTTATATTCCCTCTGGATTGCAAGTTCCTTGGTTAGGACTTTAGTATGACACCTTCTATTAATATTGAATAGTAATTGCCATCTACAAAAAATTTCAGTTGCCCTTTAAACTATACCTACTCAGTTAGAAATGTGAGCAAGATAAGCAAATTTTAAGCAATATGGTAAAACTTGAAGAGCACATTTGTTTTCATCTTAGACATCTCTCTTGAATTCGCATCAGCTAACTAATCTGAATGAATTATGTGGGCAGCAGCATTGTGAACATTAATGTATATGTGATATTCATGAAGCAGAGGATACTGCTTCTCGCTTTGCTGACCAGCACATGCTAATATTAATAGCATATTTTAGTAGTGGATAAAGGGTAAGGTGACTAAAAGGACTAGGAACTCCTGTAAGGAAGATGTAGGAGAATATAAACTATTCAGTGCAAGAAAAATATTCCTTTATAGACATCTGCGATATACCTCTGCTCAAGGATCTGATAAGCAAGTCTTCTGAAAATGCTGCTCAATCAGGAGTTTTGTATCAAATTCATTTAATATACAAAAAAATAATTGCAGCATTAGCAAAGTACTCATCTGTTTCTGTAGCTTTCTGCCACATACATATTAGTAATAAGATTAATGATTTCAGAAGCGCAAGATTTTAGCTTAACTCCATGAGATGTGCAGAGTATCATGCTACATTTTTATGCACT